TCTGCAGGCTGCTCCTCCTCCTCTGGCCATACGTTGTAAAGGAAGTCATGCATGCGGAGTACCAGAACGCTGCGTGGTGAGCGAGCGTGAAATGCTGACCCGGGCCGGCAGTCCCTAAGGGATCGGAACCTGGCAGTGAACTTGAGAAACTCCTACACTGCTAAGCTCTATTTTACCAACCGTACCTTTTAAGATTGGTACAAGTCTTGTCACTGGCATGAATGAAGCTGAGATCAGAGAGGTTAGGCCACATGCCCAAGACCACAGAGCCTGGGAGTGGCACAGCTCTGACCAGGGAAGGGATGCCATCCTCTTTTTGGTCACGGATAGATCCCAGGCGCATAATGGGTGCTCAGTAAATCTGTGTTGGGTGGAAGAGGTGAAAAATGAAGGATACAGATGCAGTTGCGGCAAAGTGAAAGAGAGTGAATTTTTTCCCCGTTGCCTTGCCCTCTCTTCTCCTACCCACCCCCCCGCCCCGTTTTAGGACATCTCCGGCGATGCCCATGCCCTTCAGAGCCAGGGGCCTGCCTCCCGGACACCGCCACGGGGGCTCCTGCAGCCCCCTGAGTCAGCTCCTGCCCGGCCGCCTGCCGCCGTCCTCTGCCAAGGGGCTGTACTACCGCAGGGCCCGCAAGGTGGGCGCCCTGGACGCCTCCCCGGCCGCCGACCTGAAGAAGGAGATCCTGGTCAACGTCGGGGGCAGGCGGTACGTCCTGCCCTGGAGCACGCTGGAGGAGTTTCCGCTGAGCCGCCTGAGCAAGCTCAAGCTGTGCCGGAACCACGAGGAGATCGCGCAGCTCTGCGACGACTATGATGAGGACAAGCAGGAGTTCTTCTTCGACCGGAGCCCCAGTGCCTTCGGCATGATCGTGAGCTTCCTGGCGGCCGGCAGGCTGGCCCTGCTGCGGGAGATGTGCGTGCTGTCCTTCCGGGAAGAGCTGGTCTACTGGGGCATCGAGGAGGCCCGCCTGGAGAAGTGCTGCCTGGGCGAGCTGCTCCGCAAGCTGGAGGGACTGGCCGAGCTGCACGGCGGGGAGACGCTGCCGCTGCTGCGGGAGGTGCGGCGCCCCTCGGGGGACCCCTCGCGCTGGGGGGTCTTCATGCACTGGCTGCGCGAGACCGTGGAAAACCCGCGCTCGGGGCTCCCGGGCAAGGTCTTCGCTTGTCTGTCTATCCTCTTCGTGGCCACCACCGCGGTCAGCTTGTGCGTCAGCACCATGCCCGACCTGAGGGCCGAGGAGGACAAGGTGAGCGGCCCCCGAACCCCAACCCCCCAAGGCCGGGCCCAGGGCCCCCGAGACTTAGGGCCTGTGAAAACGTCTAAGTAGCTTTTAAAACAACAGAAAAAGAGATTGTTGTCTAACGTGGATTGGATGCGTTTTTATTTTATTTTATTTTTTTTTTAAAGATTTTTTACTTCTTTATTTGACAGAGAGAGACATAGCGAGAGCAGGAACACAAGCAGGGGGAGCGGGAGAGGGAGAAGCAGGCTTCCTGCTGAGCAGGGAGCCCTATGTGGGACTCGATCCCAGGACCCTGGGATCATGACCTGAGCCGAAGGCAGACGCTTAACGACTGAGCCACCCAGGCACCCTGGATGCGTTTTTAGATCAGTGCAGTTGTGAAAGATAATTTTTAATTTTAATTTTTTTTTTTTTTTTTGGAGGAAAAGACCGAGGGCCCGCAAAAGTCATAAGGTGGCTCTGCCTCATAGAGGACTCGGTATTAACAAAGCTACCCCTGGTGCTCATGCGCCAGGCAGGCCTGGCTTGCGTCTCCCAGCTCTGTGACCACAGGCAAATTGCTTCACCCCTCTGAACCTCAGGTTCTTCCTCTGTAAAATGGGTAATATTGCGGTAAGGGTTCACACACTCAGTGTGTGTTTATTGAGCAGCTACTCTGTGCCATGCACTGTTCCTGGCTCAAATCTCTGCCTTCTTGAGCCACCGTTCTCGTGGGCATCCCCGCTCCATGTTCAGGTGGAGAAAGTGAGGCACAGGGCCTTTAGCTTTCTTGGAGTTAACAGAGCAAAGATGCAGATGAGGGCCAAGATTCCTGCTGGTTACTTGGCTCCTGAGCCTCCCAGTCAGTCTCACTGCATGGGGAACTCAGAGATGAGTTAACTTCTAAGTGACTCTGCCCCAGGAAGCAACAGAAGAAAGGTTTTCTCGCCCACTCCTGCACTCTTTTTCCAGGAAGTTGTGGGAGACCCCCAGGGGCCAGGGAGTCTGAGAAATGAGATAAAAGCTTAATATTTCATTGGGAAGTTTATTGGAGAGCTTCGAACTGAGAACTGGATTTGTTTCCTACTTGAAAATATTACTCCTGTCCTGCTCTACGTTCCTCCATTGCTCCCCATCACCTTAATTATGGAACTTACATTATGGCAGACAGGGAGCTGATAAATAGAACACATACATAAGATAATGAACCCTGTGTATGGCCCATAATCGTTGTCAGTCCACAGAAGTTCCCTTCCCTTAAGGATATATCCCAGGGCAATATGGTAGGATCAGAGAACTTTCCAGAAAGAAGGGACTTAGATGGAGAGCCAGCCCCTGCCTTACACAGGGTAGGCTCTCAGTAAATATTTATTGAATAAAATGTATCTTGTGCAACCTATAAATGTTTTGTCCTAAAGCAAACCAACCAAAACGTTTCGACTTTCGACTTTCGAACAGCTTTTTTTTCCCCAAGGGCGAGGACTATAGCTCCAAACATCCAGACGTTGTTTTATCCTTTAGCACGAAATCATGTGACTTAAGAGCCTGCTTGTTCACAGAAATATTTACACTTGGACACTGCAGTAAAAAATTAGGACAAAATAAGTGGCTTCGGTCCCCTGCCCCCAGAAGCGTGCCCTTGATCCCAGCTGCTGAGGAAGGACCCCTCGATTTCCATAAACCTGTTCCTCGGGGATTTCCCAGAAGCCAGGATTTAGACTGTGCAGAGGGACAAGGTCTTTTCAAAACCTAATGCTCTGAAAATTACCCAAGATTTGAACCCAGGCTTGGTTTGACAGGGGGCCCAGGAGATCAAATCAGAGGTCGCTGGGAGGCCCGCAGGACCAGCAGCCCCAAGTCTGGGCTCAGGAGCCAGGCTGCCGATTGCCCCTAGGATAAAAGGGGCCATGCCCATGCCCGGGGTGCATCTCTGCGTTTTCACCTTGTGGAAACCACCTTCGTGTGTGCTTGCTGCCTGGAGAGAGGCTGGGAGACGCTGCCCTTAAAAAAACTGTTTAGATGGTAATTCAGAGAGCCAGGAGGCTGGGGAGGCGGTCTTCATTTTTTCAAGACTGTGTCTTTCATTTACATAAAAAGACAATGTTCTCTCCAGCACCAAGCGTGTCCGATATTTCGAATTTGCCCTTGGGGATGTTCAGCTGGCCAAATGCTTCTGGGGGCAGGCCCAGCTAGGACACCTGGGGGCCATGTCGGCCTGGGGGCCCAGCAGCATCTGCTCAGATGAATCAATGCCACGTGGGCGGACAGACACGCCAGGGCTGGGACCCACAGACCTCCCCCATCAGACACGGTGCCACACTGGTTGGCAGAGACCGCTTTCCTTTTGCTTTTTCTTCTACCTTCTTCCAGTGACCTCCCATGGAGTAAACTTGGCAGCTGGGGAGAAGGGTCTGCACTGGAGGTTGGTAAATTAAAATAGGGGAGGGAGGAGGCGGTGTAGACAGGAAGGACCATGCCAAATTCTTAAGCACCTCCCAGGTGCATCCAGCCTTTTCTGGTTTCCTTGGAAGAGCTCATCCCCAAAGGGAGGAAAGAACCGGGGCTTATTACGTGCCCTTCACGAGGCTGGCATTTGATGGATGGACTTAGTCCTTGCAACAGCTTGGGAAGCGGGTACTACTACCACCCCCATTTTACAGCCGAGGAAACTGAGACTCGGGCAAGTTTTATCCCTTTCTAAAGCTCACAGTTAGTTATGTGGCAGAGCTGGGGTTTGAGCTCACCTACCAACCAGTTGGTTCTAAAACCTGTCTCCTTAGGACCACACAACACCAGCTTTCAGTGCTGGGCTGCTCTGCCTCTTATCTGGACACTCAGCTCAGCAGCCCTTGGCGTTTCTGAGGCCGCCAGGGTTTGAGAAGCACATCCCTGTCCAGCAGGAGGGCCAGAGTGCAGGTCCTCTGGGTTTGAATCTTGGCCTCACTGCTCATGAACTCAGTGTTATTCTCAGGAGAGTTACTTAACCTCTGTGAGCCTTAGTTTCGTCACCTGGAAAATGGGGATGCTCCCAGCCCTCTCCCCATGGGGTTATGATGACGACTAAAAGAGTAATTTGCATAAAGCAGTAGGAACAATGCTGATGCGTGAGAAGCCCTTAGCACGTGTCAGTCCCAAGCATTCACTTGTTAGGTCCTAGCTGACAGGAGATCACAGCATTCACCCTTCCCTTCATTCAACAAGCTACTGAGTGCCTACAAACGACATTCTTCTAGGCGCTGGAGACAGTCAGACAAATTTCTTAACCTTCCCAGAGCTCTTATTCTGCCCATCCTTGTTCCCTGTTTTGTAATTGAGGTGAAATTCACATAACATAAAATTAACCGCAGAAAAGCGGGCAGTTCGGTAGCATTCAGTACATTGACAATGTTGCGCAGCCTCCGCCTTTATCAAGTTCCAAAACATTTCCACTACTCCAAAATAAAACCCCATCCCCACTAGCACTCACTCCCCGTCCCTCTCCCCCAGCCCCGGGCAACCACCGCTCTGCTTTCCGCCTCCGTGGATTTCCCTATTCCAGACACGGTGTGCGAATGGGATCACACCCATGTGGCCTTTTGGGGGCTGGCTTGTGTCACTCAGCGTGGTGTTTGCAGGGCCCATCCACACTGTAGCCTGGGCCAGTGCTCCATCCTTCTTATGGCCCAGTAATAGGTCCCGTCTCTACACGCCAGTTTGTTTATCCCATCATCCAGGGGTGAGTGCTGCTGTTTCCATGCCTCCCTCTGCCTGCGTCCTCTGTTATGACTGTCACCCCGCCATTCATCCCCAGCACCCTTTCCATGTGGCCCCGGCCCTGGCTGGGCAGCTCTGCTGGTCAGGGCGCCCCCTTCCCTCGGGGGGGAGGCCGAAGGTCACTGCCGCTTGGACGGAACACCTGCCCCATCTCTCTTGACCCCTCCCTTCCTCTCTGCTGCTCCCCAGATCCTCAGCGGCTCGGCAGGAGTGCACCACGGCGAGGAGCCAGAACCTCTAGCTCCCTAGTGCAGAGTTCAGATCCCAGCACCGCCATTCCGGGGCTCCGCCCTTGGACGAGCCCCTCTCTTGCTCTGTGCCTCTGTTTCCTCACCTTACTCAGATGCTGGTGCTGAGGACTCAACAGTCCTATCCATCTTGCGCCTGCCAGCACGAAGCCATCACTGGCCGTGTTTATGCAGCCTTTGGGACTCAGCTCACCCCCTTCCAACTTGGCCCTCCACCTGCTCGTCCACTTTGCTCATTGCCTCTCCCGGCCCCTGGAACCCAAACACCAGCGGCCTGGTCAGCAGCCAGGTCAGCAGCCATTTGCTCAGATGTCTTCTCTGTTTCTTTCTTCATTCAGTCGTGCGTTCAGCAGACCTTTCCCAGGGGCCTCCTCTGCGCCAGAGACCCAGGGGAGGCAAGGACAGGCTCAAACTGCCCTCCCCCCGCCAGCTCAGCCTTCACTCCTTTCTCCTCCACTTTAGATTCTAGTCCTGCCCCAGAGGTTTGCTGGGGGCGTTTGGGGACCTTGCTGTGGGAGATGCGCACTGATTACAGCCGTGCAAAGTGCTTTCCCTCCCGTCTGTGGTTTCAGCATCTCGATAGGGGCCCGGGGAAGGAAGGCAAGAGAGATTTTTTAAAGACCAGGTGGAACTAGAGGGGCCCCTCGCTGGAACGATGTCCTTCTCTCCCCTGCGCCTTTCTTGGATCATGAATCAGCTCCATAAAGAACTGCCTCACTCTCAGTAGCCTCCCTGTGTTCAGTGATATTTGGTGATTGCTCCAGGGAATTCTTCTTAACCTGGCTTTGTGGCTTGGGGTTGTTTTTTTTTTTCCCCCTTCAGCTTAGTCTCCCTATATCCAGGCCAGCAAGAAGTAGTCCCCATTTCCGGGACGGGACCCACTTTTCCTGACTCACGGTAGTTGACCTGTTCTTCCTGCTTCGTCACACGTCCCTGTCTCCGTCCCCAGCCCCTCCTGCCCACACTTCCAGAGCCTCTGTGTCCCAGGGTTGGGGAGCAGGGCGGCTGGGAGGGAAAGGACAGAGAGGGGTAGGAAGGGGCAGAATGGAGGGAAGAGAGGGCAGAGAAAACTGGCTCCTGGGGAAAGGAGAAGCCGGGAAGAGGAATGAGTCAGCAGGGAGAGGAGACAGCCCTGGACCAGAGGCCAGGGCCACGGCACGAAGTGACAGGCAGAAAGGAGAAGGCCTGAGCTGCTGAGTGGTTGGGGACCAGCACTGAGCTACCAGGATGTGGGAAGTGGCCGATTCGGGCCCTATTTCCAAGGTCCCAGGGTGTGAGGAAAACTCCAAGGTCAAGACCTTGGCCCCAAGTCCCTCCCAGGTGGAATTGCTGGAACTGGCCCTTTTTGTACCAGCAGCCTCCGTGGGACAGCCGGTCCATATGGGCCCCCAGGGCCCGTGGCCTTGCCCTCTGAAAGCCCTGCCCGTCCTCTGACCTCAGAGCCCTTCAGAGCCACCCTGCTCTCAAGGTTTGAGGTAGGGTTTGGGGCAAAGTTGTGGGACCCCTCAGTGCCTCACCCACCTGACCTGGCCAGCTCAGGCTCGGGCCCTGGCTTCTTGTTTATTAAGACATAATTCACATCCTAATAGGCACCCTTTTTTTTTTTTAAAGATTTTTTTTATTTATTTGAGACAGAGAGAATGAGAGAGAGCACATGAGAGAGGGGAGGGTCAGAGGGAGAAGCAGGCTCCCCGCCGAGCAGGGAGCCCGATGCGGGACTCGATCCAGGGACTCTAGGATCATGACCTGAGCCGAAGGCAGTCGCTCAACCAACTGAGCCACCCAGGCGCCCAATAGGCACCCTTTTAATGTGCTCACATCGCTGGTACATTTGTGCGACCATCACTTCTGTCCCAGAGCATTTTCATCCTCCCGCAAACAACCCTGCCCCTGCTTCCAGGTGCTCCCCATTCTCCCCCATCCTCCCAGCCTCTGAAACCATCCATGTACTTCTGTCCCCACGGGTTGCCTTCTCTGGACATTTCTAAAAAAGGAACCATGCAGCATCTGGCCTTTCACGGAGAAGGTTGTCAAGGTTCATCCATGCTGTAGCGCGTATCGGTCATTTTTAGGGCTGAAAAATATTCCATCATGTGGATAGAGCACATTTGGTTATTCATTCGTCATCTGATGGGGATTTATGTCGACTCCACATTTGGCTACTGTTGTGGACATTCATGGACAAGTTTTCGAGTGGATGGATGTTTTCAGTTCTTGCCAGTATATACCCAAGTGTAGAATTGCTGGGTCATATGGAAAACGTGTGTTTAATTTTAAAAAAAACACCTTTTTTTAAGATTTATTTATTTGGGGAGGGTCAGAGAGAGAGGGCGAGAGAATCATAAGCAGACTCCGTGCTGAGATCATGACCTGAGGTGAAACCAAAAGTCGGGCGCTTACTCGACCGTGCCACCCGGGCGTCCCACGTGTGTTCAACTTTTGAGGAACCACCAACCTGTTTTCCGCAGCATCTGCACCATTTACATTCCCACCAGAATGCTAGGGGTTCTAACTTCTCCACAGGCTTACCAACACTTAGGACTTTCTGTCTTTATACTCCCAGCTGTTTTGGTGATTTTGTTCACTGTCTTGAGTGTCACGTCAATGGAAACACAGAGTGCATCTCCTTCTGCGTCAGGCTGTCGTGTCCCCCCCATGCTGTGTGGGAGCCCCTCACGGTGTGGCATTGCTCACCCCCGGTCGTCATAGACCTGACTCACATTCTTCACTACATGGAGCAATCAGAGCAGACCTCTTTCCTCCAGGGACAAGGCCCACCAGGAGGGTGACACCCATCCGGGTTTGCACAGGACCGAGGGGCTCTGGCGACCTGGGACTCTCTGTGCTCAAAGCAGGAAAGTTGTGGGCAAACCAGAATTAGTTGTTCACCCTACCGACAAAATACCACCAGAAGCTTCGCAGAGAGGGAAAAAGTCAGTTTTTAATTTCCCTCCTATTTTTCTTCAACTATGGCTGGCCTCGGGATTCTTTGCTTGGCTCAGGCCCCATCCATCCCCGCCATGAACGCATTTCTCGGAGGACCAGGGCTGGGACAGTGGTTGCAGGATTTGAGCAGAGTGGTGCCGGGTGGTGATGCAGCAGAGGGCTTGCTGCAGTGCAGGGAGGTGGCCGGCAGGCCAGGCTGGAGGGAGGTGGGTGGTGCATGTCTCGAATAGCCAAATGCCCGCATGGAGGCAGAGGGAGGACCCACAGAGCCTGCCCTACCTCTGGGTCACTGGTCTGGAAAGGTTATTCCCAGGCTACTGGAAGTCTTAAGCCAAGGGGAAAACTCCCAGAATGTCAGTGACAAGAGTGGCCTTGTAGGGACAATCTGGCCCAGAGTCTGAAAAACCTCCCGGGCGCCTCTGAGTCAACCGGAGGGCTTGCCAAAATGCAGATTCCTGGGCCCCTTGATTTTGTGATGAGAGCTCAAGAATCTGCATTTATAACAAGCACTCTGGGGGATTCTGATGTGGGGTGTGCTGACTCAGCTTTGAGAAATACCGGTTCTGTTCCAACCTCTTCATTGGAAACGGAAGCACAGAGAGGGGCAGTGATTCCTGCAAGGTCACAGAGCGAGTCTACAGCAGGACTGGGGAGTCAGGGTCCAAAATTCCTGAGCACTCCAGGATGCTGAAGCAAACCCCAGGTGGTCGTGGCAAAGACCTCCTGTGTTGGAGGTTCTTCCCCTTCCTGTAAAATCCAGCAAGAGGAGAAGGGTATTGTTGCCCTTATACTGACCGGGCAGGCTGTGTCTGTAACCGGCGGATCGCAGCACACAGACAGCCACAGTCCTCGTTTCCATTCACCACCCATCTCCCAGGGTAGAGAACCACAAGTCCAGGGGGGACAATGGGTCTGCAGAGTAAGTGGAAGTGTGGGATTTGAACCCATGTCACAGACACAGACAGGCACATTGAGATGGGGACAGAACACCCGTTTCTCTTCCTCCAGTGGCCAGACATAAAGAGCATTTCATTTCAGTTCAGTATTCCTGTGGGCCCAGGCACTGGAAATAATTTCTTTTTCCATTTCAGAGGTTTTTAATCCAAAGAAAACTGCAGTTGTCAACACCTTGCTTTGCACTCAAGCAACTGGCTTTGGTCATTCATTCACTCATCCATCATATATATATATATACATATACATACATAGTATTTGGAGTCAGGTTCTCAAACCCTGGCTTTGCATTACAATCATCTATGGGACTTCTGGAAAATTCTACAGCTCAGATTCAAACCTCAATCAACTAAATTAGAATTCTGAGGTCCTGGCCCAGGCACCGGCGGGGGGGGGGGGTGGTTTCAAAGCCCCCAGGTGATTCTAATTGTGCAGCCAAAGCTGAGAACCACTGCACTAGGCCAGAGCTTCTCGAACTTTGATGTGCACATGAATCACAGGGAGTCTTGTTAAGACGCAAATTCTGATTCCTTAGGGATGAGGTGGGGTCCAAGAATCTGTGTTTCTTACAAGTTCTCAGGGGAGGCCGATGCTTTCGGTTCGAGGACCGCAGTTTGAGTAGCACAGGGGCTAGTGGAATTTCCTGTTAGGAGCCAGGCAGGGAGCACGAACGATGCAAAACTGAATCCACAACAGCCCCCACCTAGCTGCAATCTCTGGAGGGAAACAGACCCTGTGTGAATACTTGCAATCTCACACATCACAAGGTTGCACCAGGGACGCAGGAGCCCTCTCTGCCCCACCGGCCTCCAAGCTCCCAGAAATGACATCTGCTTCTCTCTTACTTTCCCCCCAGAGCCTAGGAGCCTGGCACAGGTGAGCCCTCCTTGTGTTTTTGTTGGATGAATGAATGAGGGATGGCAGGCAAGGAAGCTACAAAATAGCATACAGTGGCTGAGAGACCATCTGCTTTGCGTATGAGCTCAGGCAAGGCATTTCACTGCTTGGAGCCATGTCCCGGACACAAAACGGGGTCACGCTGCCTGCTCACAACATCACTGGGCGGTGTGACAGCTGTCGAGCAGGGCAAGGTACACAAAAGGGGCTTATATTAGTGAGGCCGAAGATTGGCCGCTATTACAAAGAGGCCCCGAGATAGAACGGCTTTAAACAAAATAGATGTTGAGGCACCTGGGTGGCTCAGTTGGTTAAGCACCCACTCTTGATTTCAGCTCAGGTCATGATCTCAGGGCTGTGAGTTGGAGCCCTGTGTTTGGCTCTGCGCTGGACATGGAGTTTGCTTGAGATTCTCTCTCTCCTTCTCCTTCTGCCCCTCCCCCCCAAATAAAAACAAACAAACAAAAAACCAAAATAGATGTTGATTTCTCCTGCAAAAAGGGATCAAGGTGAGTGGGCAGCTCTCACCTGAGACCCGGGATTGTTTCCACCTTCCCCCTCCATCCTCCCCTGGGGCGTTGGTCCAATCTGTAGGTTCTAAGCTGGGTTGCAGGGTCATGTGGGTTGTCCCAGCTGACAGTGGAGAAGAGTGTGTAGGAACTCATGCCAACATCCTAAGTCCTGGAACGGGATGCAGCACACATCGCTTCTGTTCACATTTTGTGGGTGGGTTCTTAGTTATTTGGCCACACCTCGATGCCAGGGAGGCTGGAAAGGGTGGTCCCTGATCTAGCTGACTGGCCTCGTGCCCAGCCGCAACTTGAGAACTATTCATAAAGGGGATCTGGGTGGACAAATGAGAGTCTACAGCACACAGAACTCAATCGTGATTGATAGATAGATAGATGATAGATAATACACAAATATAGAGAAAAACGATAGAATATATAGAGAATCTATATCCACACATATGGAAATTGATATTGATGTCGATCTCACTATGGATACATGGAGTCGCTTCTCGGCCCGGTCACTCCCCCCTTACCCAGCGCGGCTGCCCACCACTCTCCTTCTGCATTTTGTCGCCTCCCCAGGGTGAGTGCTCTCAGAAGTGCTACTACATTTTCATCGTGGAGACCGTCTGCGTGGCCTGGTTTTCCCTGGAGTTCTGTCTGCGCCTTGTCCAGGCCCCGGACAAGTGCCAGTTCTTCCAAGAGCCCCTGAACATCATCGACATCCTGGCCATCTCCCCGTACTACGTGTCGCTGGCCGTGCCGGGCGAGCCCCGGGAGGACGGCGAGAGGCCGGGCGGGGGCTCGTACCTGGAGAAGGTGGGGCTGGCGCTGCGCGTGCTGCGGGCTCTGCGCGTCCTCTACGTGATGCGCCTGGCCCGCCACTCGCTGGGGCTGCAGACCCTGGGCCTCACGATACGCCGCTGCACGCGCGAGTTCGGCCTGCTCCTCCTCTTCCTCTGCGTGGCCGTCACCCTCTTCTCCCCTCTGGTCTACGTGGCGGAGAATGAGTCCGGGCGGGTGCTGGAGTTCACGAGCATCCCGGCCTCCTACTGGTGGGCGGTCATCTCCATGACGACGGTGGGCTACGGAGACATGGTCCCGCGCAGCGTGCCGGGCCAGATGGTGGCCCTCAGCAGCATCCTCAGTGGGATCCTCATCATGGCCTTCCCAGCCACGTCCATCTTCCACACCTTCTCGCACTCCTACCTGGAGCTCAAGAAGGAGCAGGAGCAACTCCAGGCGCGCCTCCGCCACCGGCAAACCGTCGCCTCGGCCAGTGAGCACGAGCTGCTGAGCGACGTCGACGACCTGATCCCAGAGGGACCCGCCTTGCCCACTAAATACGTTTAGCTCAAAACGCTTCGTGAAAAGGGCAGGACCGCAACCCGTCGCCCCCGGCTGACCCGGCTGGAGAGCACCAAGGTGTAGACCATCCCGTGGGATGTTTCTAGAGCCCCAGGAGCACTCCCAAAGCTAGGAGGGGCTCAAGGCCACAGGTGTTTGCTTGTTGTGAGTCTTGGCCCCCACTGGCCGCCATGATTCCTGCTGACCTTATCGATGCTCCTTGCCTTTTCCTTTCTCCGTGCCCATCACCAAGCACATCCCCTCTTCCTGTTAGGTCTGCCATCCTCCACTCTCCTTCCTCCCCTGCAGTCTTCCACACCCCAGCCTGGGTTCCAGACGCCCACAGAACCACGCCTAAAGAACTCCATTCCTCCCCGGAGACTCTCTTTCCAGGGCCACCCTACCACCAGGAACTGGAGGGGCCAGTCACTGCAGACCCTTCTGATCAGATCTCCCCACCCAGCCCTATATCATGGGTTCCAGCAGAGATCAATATGTCCTCTTTCCACTCCCCTCCACCAGTGGCATTTTCCTAATGCCGCTGCCTCCTCCCCACCTCTGGAAGCTCTCAGTCAAGAAGGCAGAACTGGCCTCTGTGTTAAACCCCACATGGGGAGCCGGTGGCCTGCCATTCCTCCTGATGTGGCTGGGACCTGGGCAGGAGTGCCACTTGCCAGCACAGCAAGCCTTCCTTGGCCAACTGGACTCTTGGTGGGACATTCTCCAGTTATCCAGTTCTTGGCCTTGACGGTCGCTAGCTCTTGCAGGGCACTGCATCGGCCCTCGAGAGAACCATTCCTGCCGCTGGCTTCTCAAGCACTTTAGGGACCTTGGCTTTATGCCCTCAGCTAAGCCATCATGGATGCAGCAGAGCTTCAGTGAAGACATGCGGGCGGCCTTAGGGTCTGCCCCTTTGCTGCCGCTCCAGACCAGGCCCTTGATGCCAGAGGGTAATTCCTCAGCTTACATTTAAATATGTTTGTCTAGTAACTATTCATTCATGAACAGATTCAGCCCTTTGCATCCAATGGAGGAAGCAGACATGGGACCAAGGTGTTCAAGATAAAAGCAGTGCGTGCTGAGGCCAGAGCAATGAATCCTGAGCTCGAGACCCAGGAGGGCTTGAATGAGGAGGGATGTTTGGGGAGCTGAAGCTGGAAAGGGGTAGGGATGGGAAGGTGGTGGGCTGTGAGGGCTGAGTGGAGGGTCTGGGCCTTCTGGTAGGTGCTGGAGGAAGCAGTGATGTGGCTGGACTGCAGGTGTGCATGCAGATGGTCAGGCAGCGCGCAGGGAGACCAGCGTGGGGCAGAGAACGACCGAGCGGCTCAGACAGGCTGTGAGGGCCTCTCTCCTCGTATTGTTAGTTGTACGAGGAGTACCTCGTCTCATCTTTTGTTCCCCAGGAGGCCACACCTCGGGGAGGTCTCGATGGCACCTTCCATGAGTGACATAGCCATGCACATTACTGCTGGCTGGAAATCCACGGCAGAAGGTGGCCTGGGTCACAGATGGGTGGTGGCGAGCCAGTCGGGGACGGGCAGATCCGATATCGTTTGTGTGTAAGCATGCCAGCATTTCATCCCCGGGACAGCTTGCCTGCTCTTCATTCATTCGGCTAATACTCAGCGCAGGCCCACTATGTGCCAGGCCCATGCCTTCCTCTGGCTGCAAGCCAGCCTTACCTCGTGGGCAGCCCTCACGCCTCTTGACTCCCCTGGGTGCCCTCCCAGCTGAGGGGGGTACATGTCTCCTCTAGACCGCCAAAGTCGGCAGGTCGACCGCAGTCCTTCCCACACTGACATTTCGGCGAGGAAGCTCTTTGCATAGTGGCCCAGTGATCACACACAAGGGAAGCCCCTGCCCCTTATAAAATCCCCACCCCGTGCCACCTGCCCCAGGAAGTGAGTAGCAGAGTCTCATGAGCTTCTGGGTGCTCCCTCAGGCCTAGATTTTCACTCTCTGTATGCCCGTGGCTCCTTGCCTTCTGTCAAGTGTGGGGCTTGGGCTAGATCTGTGATTTTCTGGCTGGGGCTCCAGCAAGACCCTCGGGGCTGCTCTGTGGGTAGAGAGCTCTGCATCCCAAGGTGAAACATTTGCAAATGATGATGTTGAAAAGAATGTGAGAATTTCTAACCCTCCCAACTCCGGTCAGGGTGCCTTGAATTGAGGTTGGAGAGCTCACCCCAGAACCAAGGAACAATCCTCGACAGCCAACGGAAGGCCTGGGACCCAAATCAGACCCCACACCCGGCCCTCCCTCTTCTGATTGGAGGCCTTTTTCCTGTGCCGCGTGCCTGGTGCAATAATTCCTCGTTGCAGCTCTGCCCATCCTGTGATGGCTTCCACCCAGGCATCTGCATTCTCCTCTGGTTCACATCCCAGCCATCTGAACAAAAGTGTGCCAGGGCTGAAGGAAACGTAGGTAAGCCCATTGCCAACATTACGAGACTCTACAGTGTCTTAATACGTGCCCGGTGGAAATTCTACCAAATTAGAAGTAGAAAATTGGAATTGATTGCTCACACGTGGGGCTTAATTAAACGCTCTATTTTTTCTCCCCAGCAATAGCCCCAGGGACTGGTCTAAGTAGAATTTGTCTAGCCAGCTTTCCCTTCATGCTGATTGGATGGGATAGTGATGACAAGCGAGTTGCTAGGCGGTCTCTTCATCCCCATTGGCCGAAAGGAGTCTTGCCAGTCCCCGAAGGGCTTGTTTTCTCTGAGGTCGATGGGCGTGACTGCGGCCAAAGGTGGAAATTTTCCAGCCAAAGGCAAAGGGCAAACGGCCCTCTGCTTCAAGCAATTTCATGTGATGTCATAGATGTGGCTCCCACAGATAACTTTATTATTATTTTAATTGAAGTGCAGTTGACACACAATGTTACACTGGTTTCAGGTGTACAGCATAGTGATTGGACAAGTCTGTACGTTATGCTGTACTCACCACAAGCGTGGCTGACATCTGGATGGCTTTACAATGTTGGCTCACCGTCTCTCTAAGCAGAGTTGAGCCCAAAAAGTGACTTGGGGATGGATGGATGGATGGTGCAAATGCGGGCTCCACCCACTGACTCTAGTCTGATGGCTTACAGGACTTGAGAAATTGGTAGCTGGACAGCTCATCAGAATACCATCTAAGCAGAGCGTTTCCATGCGGGAGTCTGTGAACCCCTGGAGGTTATGTGCATCTCAAAGTGCACGGCTTCAAAAAAGTGTCCAGCAATTGTTATCAGATCCTCAAAGGAATCCATGGCCCCTGTAAAAGGATAAGAATTTATGTAGTAAATCATCTCTCGTATTTTAAGATGGGGGGACCAAGACTCAGAGAGGGAAAGCCACCTGCCCAAGGTCACACAGCCGGTTTACTTAGTTAGATCCAAGCATCCTGATTTCCAGCAGAATACTCAGTTCTTAGGCTCATCTGAAACAGTGCCCAAGCCCTCAAAGGAAATATTCAAGACAAGAATATTACAAGAACATAACTTTGCTGTGCTACCCTGAGCAGAGTAAGCAGGGTTGTCTCGGGGTATCTCCGGCACCAGCTGTCACCCTTTCTTTGTCATATCACAGTGGACATGGTGACTGATTTCACTGGCCCTTCCTTTTCTCACTGATTCCCATGGAGAGGTTGGACCAGATGGTTATTAAAGTCCGTCCGGGCTTGGACAGTATGTGATTCTGGGGAGCAGAGTTCACTGCAACAGTCTATGCCATGGAGGGGCAGTTAAGAAACCAGAAGAGAGGTAAAAAACAAAACAAAAAACAAAACAAACCAAACCATGGTCCCTGACTATTCACAGAATGGCTCCCTTAGCAAACATCATGAAATAGTTCAAGTTTGAATAGAAATTCACTGAGATCTCTGTCTACGAGCTGCCTGCCCTGTTTCTACCCACCCACCTGGGCTCCTTGCCCCCACCTGAGGCCCCGCAGGTGCCAGGATAAGGGGCTGGGCCTGCCAGTGGCCTGCCTCTCACCAGGGGCCCTGAATCCCCTCCCCTCTTCCTCACATTGATATGCTAATAATGGGCAGCTCTTAGGGAATGATTACTAGTCACCAGGCAACTGTTTCCTTAACATTTTATTTGGGAAACGTCAAACACAAAAAAGTTGCAAGAACAAAAACAGTACATACATACAATTACCTGAATACACCTTTTTTAAAAAAAAACACATTTTGCCATTTGCTTTGCCTTATCACTTACTATTTTTTTCAATTATATATAAATAGATTTTTCTGGACCATTTGAGAGTAAGTTGACTACATCATGGTCCTTTTAGAACTTTAGAATGTAGGGGCGCCTGGGTGGCTCAGTCAGTGAAGCGTCATACTCTTGGTTTTGGCTCAGGTCGTGATCTTGGAGTCGTGATTCAGGGTCCTGGGATTGCGTTCAGCAGGGAGTCTGCTCCAGGATTCTCTCCCTCTGCCCCTCCCCCTGCTCGCGCGCGCTCTCTCTCTCTCAAAAAAATAAATCTTAAAAAAAACAAAAACAACTTTAGAATGTAGCACTAGAAGGTCTGTCGGAAAACCATCAGTGCAAGAATTCTCGGCAGAGGGTTTCCAAGAGGGCCTGTAAGCCTCTGGAGATGACAAGCAACAAAGCATGTATGTATGTGCGTTTCACAGTGTCAAGTGTCCAGTGATTTCTTTGGATTCTCAAAGGAATCCGTGAGTCACCCAAGAAAATAAAAGGAGAGGAAGCTCTAAGGTAAATCACGTCCTTTGTTTTAAGATGGAGAGCCAAGGAGACCCTGGAATACTTCGGGGGGGGGGGGTCTCTGTCCTAAGGTGAAGGATATTCTCTTACAAAACCACAATATAGTTATCAACCTCAGCACATTTAACGTGGACGCAATATTTTAATCTAACCTACTGTCGGTTCCAGTTTTGCCAGTTGACCTAATAATGTCCTTTACGGCTTTTCCCCCACCAGGAGGGACTAGAGGGGGCATCTATGCAGCCCATCTCTTTAGCCCCCCATAATCTGGACTGTTTCCACAGCCTTCTGTGGCACTTCTGACACCAAAATTTTGGACGAATATAGCCCTTCCTTTGTAATAGAATGTGCCTCGTTCTGTGTCTGTCCCAGGTCTCTTCATGCTCAGATTGAGGCTTGCATCCCCAGCTAGCCGCGGCACCTGTGAGCTGGCGTCCCTCCCGGGTGTCACATCTGGGGGCACCGTGCCCCTCACTGGTGATGTGCATTCCCTTGGTTTGGGAGGTGGCCCCAGGAAATGCTAGCATGGGAGTGGAGAGTGAGAAAGGGAAGGAGTGCTGGCTGGGCCCAAAGGCATTCAAAGAGAAACAAAATTAACCCTGATCGTGCAGGCCAGATAGAATGTTCCAG